GTTTTATCATTTTATCATTTACCAGTATCTTTTCCTCCATCCTTCCCTCCTTCCCCCCTCCTTTCCTCCTCCCTTCTTTCCTTCCTTCCCTCCCTTGTCGGTCAAGGAAAGAAGAGGAGAAAATAAAAAGGAGTTTGGGCTATACACACAAATGCTGTCTCTCCCTGCCTTCTCATTATGCAAACTTAAATACGAAAAACTGGTCGGGCAGTGGAGGTCTGTTTCTTCTTCAGTTCTATAGCTGTTTTAGGCGCTGCTGCATGTTTATCATCTTTTCTCACAGATGTTACATTTTATGAAATGTGACTCATCAGGGTGGTACATCTTTAGATGGAAATAAATCTCTGAGGGATGGATGATTACACAAGTCTGGTTCACACAAAACCTGAAATATTTGAAGAGAATATTTCCTGGGGGAAAAAAGGCAACAAGACTTTGCTGTACTTAAATGAATCAGCAAGACCGATGATTTCAAATCTGTTCTTTTCTCTGAAGGGAATGAGGGAGGGACAGTATTCTTGTTTGGGGAGGTTTTGTTTTCATTTGCAAAATGTTTTTAATTTGTGTGGGCTTTTAGTTTTGAACTTTGGCCCATATTTTTGTTCCAGTGTTCAAAAAACAATTTACTAGAAGACATTTTTTGAATACCCATTCTGTACAAAGCACTGGATTTGGGGCTACTGGGAGGCATCGAAGGTAATAAAAGAGCTAGATTACTTTGTCCTGCCATCTTTGAGCTTCTCGTCAAAGTTTAAATGTCACCTGTATTTTTCAGATTGGGCACCTGGGGTCCCAAGTGGGAAGGTGACTCGTCTAAAATAATGCAGCTAATGGATGACGTGCAGAACAAAAACTTAGAATCATCTCTCCTGAGCTCCAGTGCTCTTTCAACATACCAGACTACTTAGTACTGTGTATGTCAATAGGGTCAAGTGTCATAGCATGGTTGGAATTAGAGTGAGGTTATTGAGACAAAATGTTAACAGGCATCAAAAATCTCAGTAATCAAAATAAATGCCAAAAAAAAGAAAAGAAAAGAAAAGAAAAAATCCATGCTGAATAAAATGTCAAAAAATTTGAGATCAAGTCGGGGTCTGACCTTGTACTTGCATGACCCAGTCTCACTTGCCTCACCCCAATCTTGGCTGTATGCCATACAGTCTTAACTTGTGGGTGGACCAAGAGGGAAAGCCAGCAAAAAAATATCTCTGTGGCTGGAATAATTGTAAAGCAATCCTGAAAGGAATAGACTGAGGTGTCCAGATGTTCAGAGATGGATCACAAATGATCCACAGTAGTGTACTGAGATAAAATAGCTCTCATTTTGTTTTAATAAGCCTCCTGAGGACCACAGAGGGAAAAACTGGAGATGTGACAGTAGATCATGCTGACCTCTAGGGGGCGCTGCTCCCATGATGAACCCTGTTCCCCTCAAGGGCTCTTGCAGGATAGAAGACAAAATGGAGTGCTCAGGGCCTCACAGTGAGGTTTGGTTGGAGGGCTTTGTTTGGAACTAGAAACTGGGTTAAATTTTTCTTCCTCTTTTAGATTGTCTTCTCTTATCCAAGTCCTACGCCTGAAATACTAATCCAGGACCTACATATGCATCATTTGAAAGTATCTTTGCCCTTAGTTAGCCAAGAAGAAATCACGGTGGGGTCCTGGAGGAAGGGAGAGGCTCTGGGGCAAATGCAGTCCAGATGCGGTCCAGTTCACCAAGAGGGGACATGAGACTTAACCTGCCATAGAGCAGTAAAGAATATGCATTTGCCAGAATGTCCTCAGAATCTAGCTGTCATGGCTGGATGGGGGTTGGTTTAGGTTCCTGATCTGGTCACTTAATTCTTCACTTTTCCACATTTGTAGTAACTTTTAACAGCAGAGTCAGAACCAGGCCCCAAAATAGAATAGATTCTGGGTAAATGTGGGCCTCTGACAACAGCGCTAATGTATAGCCACTGTTCTCACAAGCTGGTTCCACTGACCCTGGAGGTGAGGGTGGGTGGTGAGGAGTAGTGAGAAAGGGTTTAGGAAAGAACCAAAATAACTTTCTTTTTCTTTTATTGTTCTGAGCTGTGTCCTGTCTAGTCTTCCTCATTTGCAGGGAAGAGTGGTTTATTTTTGTTTTGTTTTTCTTTGTTCAGCCACAGGGACAGCTCTTGAAAAGGAAAGAAGAATTATTCTGTCAATTCAGTGTCACTCTCAGAAACTACAGTTTTAAGCACTCTTGAGAAAGAATTATTGTGCTCTAGGTGCCTAGAGGGTAAGAAGTTGGGCATTTCCATTTAAATAAATAAATAAATAAACCTAATTACCACCCTCTCAAAAAACAAACAAACAAAAAACAAAGAAACAAAAAAAGAAAATAAGGGCTCAAAAATAATATCTATTGTCATAGATTCTTGCCCGTCATGGATGATGATAAAGGCCCCCTTCATGCAGGCCTTCTGCCTTCTTGAGTATCCCCACCAGCAGCCATTCCTGCTGTGTTTGAACCTTGTTAGTGGCCACACAGTGCAATGGGTCTGTGTGTTTCATTTGTTAGATGGTAGGTTTTCAACATGCTCCACTTTGAACAGCTACAAGATCTTGGTTCTACTATGCCAAAGTTTTCCAGGCTATCATGCCAACTAGCTCCAACCTTGGAGCCACACAGAAATAAATGCCTTACTGTTTCCTCATGTTCAAGTATCTGTAAACAGCTCACAGATTCCTTCAGTCTCCCTTTCTCACTGATCCCTTCAACCATTCCAACAGACATAATTTCAGGTCCCCTCAGTCCTTTCTTTGGCACTGCTGCTTTTTCAGTGGTCTTCTCACAATCTATTTTGCGTAGATCTGTACAAACTATACCTAGTATAGATTAACCATGACAAAGTGGAGTGCTGAGCTGCTAGCTTTACTATCATTACCATCAAATAATTAGAAGTGTTCGTGAAGTATGTCTTTAAACCATCACAAAAATGATTCTGGCACCCAACTGTTTGGTTGGCATGAGTGGGCAAGTCTTTG